TTTACTTGAAGCTGGTAGAGGTCCGACATAATCTATTCCAATACGATGAAAAGGTTGTCCTATAGGGATAGGATGTAGGGGTTCTATTCTTGAGACTCTTCCTCTTTTCTGACAAGAGTCATATGATTATACATAGTTCTTGATATCTTCAAACATTTGAGGCCAATAAAATCATTTTCTAATTTTCTCCATCATCTTCTCTTTTGAACTATGAGCGGCAGTTGGATCGTTATGAAACATGTAAAGTGCAGGTTTCAACTCCGTTTTTTGAGTACTCTAATTGGGTTACTTGAGTTATTCTTATTAATTTTATATAATAAATTATGCTTGATAATATAATGTTTTGATAATACAGTTAATTTATGTTGTTGTGTTTGATTAAAGACAGTAGGGTATGTTTGGTTGGTTAAATAATTAAATAGTTGATTATATTGTTGTTCTTCTATAGTTAAGAATTTAAGCTGTTTATCACGCTGTAAACACTTTCGCTTTCACTTAATTCTTTATATTATGTTAATGATTAATTTAATAAGAGGGGAAAAGGATGCATTATCAAGGTCACCAAGGTGAAAGTGTAATTGTGCACGAAGATTTTCTTGTTGTACTAAGAGAGGTTCTTCCCATCAGAGGTCATTAGTTAAGTATTCTGGCTTCATGTCCGGTTGAATTTTTCCTAAACCATATCCAATGATACAGTCATGTATAATAGTTTCATACAATAAATTTTTCTTACATGCTTTACAGTATGTGTGGATATGATGGTTTTCTGTATCACATGAGAAGGTGCATTGTGATCCTCCTCTGGTAATGGGTTGTCCTGCAATCACTTGTTTAATTTTTATATTTTCACGATAAATTTCCTTTAATTTCTCGTCAGGAGATTTATATCCAATAGCAGTTATTAAAACAGTATTAGAGTATTGTCAAGACAATTCTTCTTCGAACCATTCATCATTTTCTTCAGATTTAGGAGAAGAAATATGCCATTCTATATCTTCCTTTATACTATTATTTTCATATTCATCGTCAGCTATATCTGTTTCAGTAAGATTAATAATAAAACATTCAGCAGTTTCTTCGTCATACATGCGGGACAATACATCAGCATTTGCATTATATTTTCCTACTCTATGTTCGATGGTAAAATAATGTTGTTGCAGTTCCATGATCCATCTAGTACGCCTTCTTTTTGGCATTTTTGAGGTTTTTAGCCATTTTAAGGTAGCATGATCAGTCACGATAGTAAAGGGTTGACTAAGGTAATGATGAAAATGCTTGATTGATCAAACAATTGCTAGACATTCTAAGTCAGTGATGGGATAATTTTCCTCAGTTTTGTTGGTCGATCTGCTAGCATATGCAATAACATATTCCTTTCCATCCTTCTTCTGAGATAATACAGCACCTAACCCTTTCTTTGAGGCATCTGTATATAAGATAAAAGGTATTTTGAAGTCTGGATATTGCAAGATTAGTGCTTTGATAAGCCTTTCCTTTAATCGATCAAAGGCATATTGTTGTTTTTCTCTCTATTCAAATGGTTGATCTTTCTTTAATAATAGAGTCAATGGCTTGGCATGTCATGCAAAATCTTTAATAAATTTTTGGTAGTAACTAAATAATCCTAATGCAGCATGTAGTTGAGTTAGACTTTTTAGTTCTGGGAATTCTTCAATTTTCTTAATCTTCTCTGGATCAGGTTGAATTCCTCCTTGTCTTACGACATATCCTAAGAATGCTAAGGAAAGTTGGCAGAAATAGCACTTCTTTAATTTTATTGCAAGATGAGTATCTCTAAAAGCTTGAAATACTTGTTTAACGTGATCAACATGTAATTCAAAGGGTCCCTTTGTATAGATGATTACATCATCAAGGTAAACTGATACAAACAATCCAAGGAAGTCTTTTAGAACCCAGTTCATAAGCCTCTGAAATGTTCTGGAGGCATTATTTAATCCAAAGGGTATGACTAGAAATTCATACAAACCATTTGCTATGATAAAAGCAGTTTTCTCAATATCGTCAGGGTGCATGGCTACTTGCCAATAACCACTAGCTAAGTCGAGGGTAGTGAACCAATTGGCTCCACGTAATGAGTCCAATAAGTCATCGATTCTTGGTAATGGATATGCGTCAATTTTTGTGACAGCATTGACTTTTCGATAATTGACACATAATCTTTTTTCACCTCCTTTCTTTCCTACAATTACTACAGGTGAGGCCCATGAGCTATATGAGGGTTGAATTATACCATTTTCTTTCATTTTCTTTAGCTCTTGATTCAAGAATCTGGTATTTTCAGAATTCGTTCGATATGGTTTTTGAGCAATTGGCATAGCTGTTCCAGTATAGATATGATGCTTGATCTCTGTTGTTCTTCCTATATCTGTTTGACTTCTTATACAAATATCGTAATATTCTACTAGTAGATTCATAAAAGTCTGTTGTTAATGATAGTCCAGTGGTTCTAATTGTTCTAAATACATTGGGTCAGTCTTAGCAGTGTATCCTGCAATTTCAGCAAGATAGGCAGCTGAGTTGTCTTCTATTAGCTCTTCTAATTCTCCATTGTCATCAGTATCCTCTTCAGATTAAATAGGAGAGTAATTATCAGACCATAGATTGAATCCCAACTTATCATCCAATTCTAATTCTTTTGAGTCAACATCGTCAGATAAATAAATAGGGTATTCTTCTAAATATTCATCCACATATTCTTCACTTTTATATTCATCCTCAGCTTCCTAAGTCACAACTTTAGCTGTTTTAGTAAATGCAATGGGAATTTTCATGATAATTCCATCTCATTTAATAGTAAGGATAGATTGTTCCTAACTCATAGTGGTATTAGTTACTCTGAGCCAATCATTTCCAAGTATAAGGATTTCATCTTTAGATTCGAGTACTTGAAAGGAAATAGGTACATTAATTTTTTCAATATTTACTGGTATATTATCGATAATTCTAAGGGAACGAGTTCTTGCACCATTTGCTATTACTACTATTATTTTTGAGAGTCGGTTAATTTTATATCCTAGTTTCTCTACTAAGGTTCTAGTTATGATACTGGTAGCAGCTCCACTATCAATGATTGCAGTTTGAGCTTTTTGTCTTATCCTCAAAGTACATTTTGCAGCTGAGGTTGGTTCATCATCACTTTCTACTAAATTAGCTTCCTTAGTTTCATCAGTGGCTCTTTCTCTTGAGCGTTTGACAGTTTGAGCTAAACCAGAATGATATATGGGAATAGCATATGCGGCTTGTCTTACCGAGAGTCCACATGGTAGATTTTGCAAATAAGTTGAGACATTAAATTCCATTAGTTGTTCAATAGGGGCAGGTAACAACTTCTTTTAGGGGCCTTTAATGCTTTTTCAGTTCTAACTAGTTCGATCACGGGTTCTGGTGTTGGTTCTTCCATTTCTAATTCCTCAACGGTTATTTTGGGTGAGTTTTGAAACTTTACTGGTCTTCATTTATTTTTCGACACAGCATTCTTTGGGTAAGGTCTAGATTTAGTATTAAGATATACTTCATATTCGTCTTCTTCATAATATTCTTCTGAAGTATATTCCTCATCATTATATTCTTCCTCATAATATTGGTCAGCAAGATGTACGTCCCTTGTATTATCATAATAAGGTCTTCTATCAGTTCCTTTTGATTATTGGCAAGGTTGAGGGCAATATATAGCTATGTGGCCTTCCCTATTACAATTGTAACAAGTCATGGAAGACATGTTTTGTCTGGGTCTTCTATTAGTATCATTGTAGGATTGCTCAGTTCATTTCCTTGGTGGTTGTTGAGGTTGAGCCAATAAAGCAGTCATCAGGTTAGCATAATTGATAGATAATTGCTCCAGTTTCTTAGTGAGTTCATCTACTTTAGCATTAGTAACCACATTTTTAGAAGTAGAAGCTGTAGTAATACTAATATCTTTGGGTGCTTTTCTAGAGGCGAAATTATATCCAATTTCAATAGTTCTCGCAGAATTTACAGTGGCATCTAAATCAGCTGGATTTTGTGAATAGACTAACAGAGTATAAGCAGAATTTAGTTTCATGAGGAACATCCTTTTCTTTTGCGCATCATCAGTTAATCCTTCACGAGTTACTAATTTCTTGAATTTATTAGCATAAGAATCTACAGACTCATCTATTTGTTGACGTAGAGAGGTTAACTCCTGATACCATTGATTTTTCTTGATCTCACTAATAAAACGAGCTTTAAACAAATCTACAAAGTTTTGACTAGCATTTGTTCCAGTATTCCAATGGTCTTCCATGGCAGTAGTAATGCTATCAAACCAGTTAGCTGCTGCATCTCTGTGGTGTCCTCTAGCAAGGGCTTTCTTTCTTGCTTCATCAGTCCATCTGTTGGTAATGGCAGCTCTTTCAAATGCAGTGAGCCACTCTACAGGGTCTTCATTTTCAGCTCCTGAAAAATAGTCAACTTTGATAATAGATGTATTTCCTCTTTATGCTAATCGAAATCGTTCACTAATATCTATTAAGTGTTGTTCATCAGTTCCAAAAATTTCTTGGAAAATAGCTCTCATTTCATTTCCTGTGGCCATGATTTCTGTTTCAACTGGGGGTGAGTTAGGGGATGAGTTTGTTAAGCTAGATGCAGAAGGTGTTGAGGAAGTAACAAGCTGTTGTAATAATCGTCGGTCTGCTATAGGTCTTACTAGGTCTTGTTCTAAGATTTCAGTATATATCCTTGAAGAAATAGATATGGTAACATGTTGTTGAAAATAATTTGTTCGAAATGATATGCCTTGTATATACAAATATATGACGTCTGCTGAAAAAGGTCGAACACAGTATCGAATACTAGAAAGGAGTTGGTAAATAACTCTTATTAGGCGGGAGTTACAATGTTCAGATTCAGGGGTACCACTAAGTTGTTCAAATAAATTAAAGGCAATAATAGTATTTCTTGAGGTAAAGATATCTGCTTGATATTCTCGTCTAAACCAGTTCTAGAAATTATTAAAGCTATTGGAAAGAGTTTCAATTGAAGGGGTGGAAACACCAAGGACAAGTATAATCTTGGTTAAGAGGTTCGTCTAAGTAATGCCTAACTATATGCTCTGATGTAGTTCTCTCAAGTTCCTCAAAATTCATAC